GCAGTGGAATCTCCTGGCAGGTGATGTTAGGGTTTCCATGTTCCGTGACCGTCAAAAGGATCTTGTCCCATTCTTCTTCATGGAAGGTGATCTTGTAGCCTGCAACAACATCGATGGTGTGATGGCAGCCCTCAACATCGTTCACGATCCAGATGAGTGGAGACTGTTCATTGATTCATCGAAGACGAGTCTTAAAGCTGTTTTACTGCATAATGGCAATGTTTTGCCATCAATTCCAGTTGGTCATGCAGTCCATATGAAGGAAACCTATGACAACATGAAACAACTTTTGAGGTCCATAAACTATGACCAACATAAGTGGCAGCTTTGTGGCGATTTGAAGGTTGTTGCTCTCTTGCTTGGTCTGCAGACTGGATACACAAAGTACTGCTGTTTTCTCTGCGAATGGGATAGTCGTGCAAGAGATCCCCAAGAAAGATTGGCCACTCCGACAGTCATTGGAGCCTGGGAGGAAAAGTGTTCAGCATCCACCACTTGTTGAATCAAGGAAGATTTTGTTACCACCCTTACACATCAAGCTGGGTCTGATGAAGAACTTTGTCAAGGCCATTGACAAAACACAAGCAGCTTTCAAGTACCTCCGTGGAAAATTTCCAAGGTTAAGTGAAGCTAAGATAAAGGAAGGTGTCTTTGTTGGTCCTCAGATTCGTGAACTTCTTCGAGATGATGCATTTGACCATGCACTGCGTGGCAAGGAAAAGACGGCATGGAAAGCCTTCCAGTTAGTGGCAATAAAGTTTCTCGGAAACAAGAAGGCAGACAACTACAGGTTGTTGGTGGAAAACCTCCTCAAGGCATACAAAAGCCTTGGTTGCAACATGTCACTAAAGATACATTTTTTGCACTCTCATCTAGATTTTTTTCCACCGAACTGCGGAGCAGTGAGCGACGAGCACGGCGAGCGATTTCACCAGGACATTGCAACAATGGAGAAACGCTATCAGGGCAAATGGAGCCCATCAATGCTTGCAGACTATTGCTGGACAGTTACAAGAGATGCTCCATTTAATGAATACAAGAGACAAGCCAAGAAGCGCCGAGTAGACACTGAATAGGACTAAACTATGTACAGAATAGTTTTTTGCCTTTTGTTTCATAATACATTTTATTTATATAACCCTTTTGCTGATTTTTAAAGTGTTACATAAACAGGACAGGTGAAATATTATCATGTAAAGCAACCATAAACACATGAAAAGACCTAGGTTTACAATTTATGATTAAAACTCTACTATCTACACAATAGACATAGACATAAAATGTAAAAACTTAAATATCTTAGAAACAGTAGCCAATCAGTTGTTTTAATTGTCATATTTGAATTCAGCACATCAAAATACATAATAAATAGCACATTTTATCTCTGAAGCAGACGACTTCTCAAAAATTGTAGACCGGTGTAATTGTTTATTCTTATTCTTATTGCTATAAAGTCCAGTCTAAGTTTGGCCATTTCAGCCATTTTTCCAATGCACTGGTGACTCCAGGCTCAGCAAATTAACCAGATACATTTTATCTTAAATATTTTGTAGGGCTTTTGTTTGTGATGAGACTGAAGAATTAAAATGTACAATGAGGTGCCTCTGACTTCTAGCTTCATCTTTTGTCTCTCTAATGCCCTGATGCAAACAGGATTCACACGTTCAGCAATTTTTTTTCTCTCTTGAGAGCACAAAGTATCCGTGGCAAGCTGCAGAAATGATCATGCTTGGTGAAAGAAAACCCAGAATCTATTATTTTTCAACTTCTTTTGTTTGAATCCTGCTTCTGACTTGTTTTATGATACTTCCACTGAAGAACAAGTGCCCCCTCTGGTGGCCTCGTGAAATATAGCAACATGCCAGGTGCAAGCATATAAAACACAGAGAGGGCTCAGCCCTAGTCTTTGATAGTCACTGTGCATTGCTGTGAATCTCGGAAACTTGGCTACCCTGCTGATTTCACACAGCAACTCAAGGTGCTAAAACAAGAGCGAGGGCTAGACCTTAGGGGCTGAGGAGGGTTGCACTTTCTGTGCCGTCCAAAGATGAGAGCTACAGAAAGTTTTGTACACGAAGCAAAACGTGGCTTTGTGCCAGTAAGAAAGAGAAAATTCCTTTAAGCCAGTATGGTTTGGTGAAGCATTTCAAAGGCGAGAAGCTAAGGTGGCTGGGTCATTAGAGGTAGCACTGAGGGAGGGGGGGAACATAACACAAGATCCTGATGGTAAGAGTAATGGTGAACACACCGGTCTGGTCTGGTATGTAAACGTTTTACCCACCTAGCTATGCTGAGAAAAGCACAGCCCTCACCCACATAGCCCTGGTGGCAAAGCCCTCGCATAAATGGAGTTATATAGAGATGTAGCTTATTTAGCTGGCGGGGCTGCTACAAGCTATATTGGCAAAATACACCTCTACCCCGATATAACGCTGTCCTCAGGAGCCCAAAAAATCTTACCGTGTTATAGGTGAAACCGCGTTATATCGAACTTGCTTTGATCTGCCGGAGTGCGCAGCCCCGCCCCCACCCCGGAGCACTGCTTTACTGCGTTATATCCGAATTTGTGTTATATCGGGTTGCGTTATATCGGGGTAGAGATGTAATGCCTTTGCCAGAGTAAACTAGATGCCCACTAGGAGGGTTTGCCAGAATAGCTATACTGGTATATTTATACTGGCAAAGAGAAAGCCTTAGACATGGACTATACCCCCATTTATGGAAAAGTCCTGTAGAAATCCATATGGCTCTCCAGAAATTAATTCCTTAGTACTAGGCGTAATGTCTGTACAGTATTGCAGCAGCACCTAGAGGCTTTAGGATTGAGGCTTAAAGTTAAGCATCTGCTTCAGTTCTTTGCTGAATCAGACAAGGCGCCCCGCAAAAAGTGATTGGCAGTCCCAATTGGACAGATAATGCAGTGAATGGTGGAAACCGACAAGGTGGGGAATTTGGGTTAAGTGCAGAGAGACATCTCTAACGAATGGGAAGGATTCTTACTTTTGAGGGACGGGGATTGTAAATGTAGCTTTGCTTTGTACCATTCTTTGCTACTTGCTTGTTTCTTTTTGTTTAGTGTATTTAGCCAACCAGGATTAAGTTCCGTTTCAGGGTTTTGATTTAGACTCATCTCTAATATGTAGCCCAATACCCAATTTTGTACATTGCCTTACCTTGCAAAGGGTGAGGTCAGATGCATTTTGCTTGTACAATTGCCTCTGTATCTGGGCTCTGGCAAGGGACTTGGGGAAACCTATACCTGCACTAATGAATATATACCTAGTATATTGCATTTATGGCCCTATAATTGTCATCACCCCAGTCATTGACCTGAAAAAATTGCATGAGTGTGCTTCATCCTAGTTGCAAATGATTTGGTTAGAGACCTGGATGGTTCATTTAATTGCAGCTGTATGGAGGCTCTGCTGAGAGGTCTGGGGAACTCTGCTCTGTTAAGGTTCCCGTTGTAATCAATGGAATGGATGGATCTGGAGTTTCTGTTCTCCCTGTTTCAAACACAAGAGGAGCACAAACACACCCACAGCAAACTAGTTTACATATTCAAGTTTGTATTCACAGAATGTTGTTTTCTGCATTATTTAACCAGTTCATTGTCTATCAAGCATAGATAATGAACCAAGTAAATAATGCAAAAAAGCAAAACCGAAACTCTCCAAATCATTCTGTGAATACTAGTTTGAATACATAAACGAGGTTGCTTTGGGCATATTTGTACCCCTCCTGTACTGTGAAATAGGGAGATCTACCTTCTCTGTACTATTCAGTATTCTGTATACTCGCATCCCATCCACAAAATCATGTATATAATGTAACTGTATATGTTTTAACACAAGAAGAAGTTCCAGGTTAAAGCCTATTTAGTATCTCATTGCTAGAGATGTTCGTGCCAGTTTGGATTCAATAAAACCCTCTTCAGCCAAACCTCCAAAGGTTTGCTTAGCTTTCTTCATTATTTGTCCTTGTTGCACATTCAGATGCTGCCTGGGATCCAATGAGGAAGGGACAGAACTCTGCAGGAGAGGTTGAATGTGTGGAATTTCCACACAGGAATTTCTGGAAAGCCCATGCAAACTCCTATCATTGTTGTGAGCCTTCCAGCTCAGATTTTCAGGTCCTGCTGATTCAAATTTTCTTTAACTTCACCCATTGATCAACAGGCATCTTTGCATTGACTTCAGAGGTTACTGAATCAAGACCCAGGCAAACATCAGAACCAGCTATAATTCTAAGAGGCAATGTTTAGTTAAACAAACAATGCAGTCACTTAATAGGGGAACAGGCAGTTTGAATAATTCAGACAAGATTTTCTGAAGTACGCAGGACAAGAGTGGGTGGAACTTTTTGGCCAAAAGCCCCCCCCCCCTTTTTTTTCTTTTTGCTGAAAAACACAGATTTGAGTTGACTGAAACATTTCCCAAATTTGTGTTGAATTTGCCAAATTGTTTTGGTTGAAACCAAAACCAAAAAATTCAGCACAGTTTGTTTTGAAATTTCCCTTTAATATTATTTGTTTAAAAAACTAACCAGTTAAAAATGCTCAAAATAGAAATGAAACGTTTCATTTCACCCCAAATACATTTTTTCCTGACTTTTGGATGAGCTGAAAATTTGAAAAATTTCATTTGACCAAAACAACTGTGTGTATATGTATAGTGATTTTTTTGTACATTTAATTATTTTAAGGAATTACCAGCAAACCAAAAAATCTCGTATTCACTCCAAGCTCTTCTCAAAATCCATAATAGCAGCTGGACTTTCACAGCTCAATTCCTATTTAGGCACTTCAATAAAGTGTGTGAATTTTCAAAAGTGTTTTTGAGAACATAGGAGTTAATGGCTCCTGAGTGCTTTTGAAAATGCAGCAGCTTCATTCATTAGAATTCTTGGGAAACTGAAACGGCAAATACATTCAAACTAGGCTCCTATTGCGTTTTGGATTCAAAAACTTACCAGTCCACCGTTCTTTGTCTTCTATGCAGCGTTCCAGCCTCTTCTCTTCACTAGTTGACTTGCAGACAGGTAAGTGGTTCTGATTTCTTTCATAAAATGGTCTGCGTATATTATATTGTGATTGTGTACCTGATTCAGCAAGATACTTAGCACATATCTGAATTCAGGTCCTACTTCCCTACTTAGCTCCCCTATACTTACCTACTTCAATGGGACTACTCATGTGGGTCTTTATTATTTCAGCTGCACACAATGCAAGTGTGATTTCTGTTGCTAGAGTTCTCAGAACACAAATTTAATTGTTATTTTATGTGAGCATTTGAGGTTATAATTTGGCTTCTCTGAGCATTTGGCCATATAATTGCATAGGTCTCAGGGTGAAATCGTGCCCTGATTTACAGCCTATACCATCCAATTCATTGGGATTGTATAAGGTGTAAAACAGATTGTAGCCTATATGATCAAACTGATATTATCCACCTCTAACTTCCATGAATCTATGGTTTATTCATGATAACAGGGTCCTGCCCTAAAAGTTTTGGTACAAGCTTAAAATTTTAATTTCTAAAACAAAAAGTCACTCATCATAATGTTGTGGGTATACACCTGAAATCCCACAAATAATACCCATCACTTTAGTTTAATGGCATCACTGCTTGAGAAAATCAGGATACACAGCCTGAGAGCTACTTATATGGCAATATGAAATGGACTACCAAATAATTCAGTTGCACAGGGGCTAGCAAAGTATTTAAAACTAATTGCAAAAAATTTAACGTGCTCAAGAATCAGTCTTAGGACCAATCTTATTCAATATTTCTGTTAATGACGCTGGCACAGAAAGAAGCTAATGAGATGTGCTGGTAATACCAAGTTAGGAGGCATGGTCAATACAGAGGAGGATTGGAATATTATACAGGGAGATCTGGATGAACTTGAAGCATGGAATGATAGAAATGGGATGAAATTCAATAGTACAAATTTCAAGGTCATGCACTTAGGGCCTAATAATAAGAATTTCTGCTACAAGCTGGAGGCTCGTCAGTTGGAAGCAGCAGAGGAAGAGAGAGACCTCGGTGCGTGGGTTGATCACAACGTGACTATGAGCCATCAATGTGATGCAGTTGTGCAAAAGCCAAATGTGATCCTTGCATGTATTAGGCAAGGCATTTCCAGTAGAGAGAGAGAAGTATTAATGCCATTGTACAAGGCACTGGTAAGACCTCATCTGGAATACTGTGCACAGTTCTGGTCACCCATGTTCAAGAAACATACATGTAAACTGGAACAGGTACAGAGAAGAGCTACTATTTTAAGAGAGGAAACTGGAAGAGCTTGGCTTGTTTAGTTTAGCAAAAAGAAGGCTGAAGAAGGCTTGCTCTTTATAAATATATCAGGGAGGTAAATATCAGGGAGGATGAAGAGCTATTTAAGTTAATGGGCAGTGTTGGCACAAGAACAAATGTATATAAACTGGCCATGAACAAATTCAGGCTGGAAATTAGAAGAAGGTTTCTAACCATAGAGGGGTGAGGTTCTGGAACAGCCTCCCAATAGGAATTTTGGGGGCAAATAACTTAATTAGTTGTAAAAGAGAGCTGGACAAATTTATGAATGTGATTGTATGAGAGGGGTTGCATGTGATGGTAGGGGGCAGGGCTCAACAGCTCTGGGGCTTACTTCCAGTTTAAGTCTTATGTTCCTACAGTTCATGCTCCAGGGTTTCAGCTGGCCACGAGCAGGGATCAGGAAGGGATTCCCCACACCCTCCGCCATCACCATCGTATTCTGGGAGGAGTTTTTTTATGTCTTCCCTCGGAAGCATCAGCGATGGCCATGGTTGGAGATGGGATGCTAGGCAGGGTGGGCCAGATCTCTGAGGTGGCACGAGGCATTCTCTCTCTCAGGTGCTTGGCTGGCTGGTTCTTGCTCACATGCTCAGGGTCTAACTGATCGTCATATGTGGGGTCACGAAGGAGTTTTTCCATCAGGCAGATTGGCAGTGGCCTGGTGGGGTGGGGTTTTTCTTCTGCAGCATGTAGATTTGGATCACTTGCCAGGATTACCTGGGTATATCTCACTTAATTATTTCCCAAACACTGCAGGGGGCCTCAGACACTGGTGTACCTCGGTCCCTCCTATGCATTCCCTGCAGCACATAATAGTCTAGTCCCCTGTGAGCTGTAATGCTTTGGTCTCATTTTGGTTGTTGGATTTAGAGTGCTGGGGCTGGGTGGTGTTAGTGGCCTGCAATATACAGGGGGTCAGACTAGATGATCTAGTGGTTCCTTTCGGCCTAAAACTCTGTGACTCTAATATCATCCCAAAGCAGAAGTGGAAATTAGTGTTGATGGCCTGAGAAGAATAATGACATATAGTGATGGGACTTACACTGGGAGCTAACTAGATGGCGCTTTAACCACTTCTGTCTTCCTGTACCAGTGCCTCTGTTTGGAGCATGATCTTTGTTGTTGGTTGGAAGTTGAAGGAATAACAAACCTATCTAGCTATATGGTACTAAGCAGAGCCTATGGGTCCAATCATGCATCCTATACTGGGTGTAGGGCTTTCCACAGTGAAGCAACATTAGCTCCATGGAGCTATTCACTGTATTAAGCACCAGGCCCTGCCATAAGTGTTTTCAGGATTGGCCTCAATAGCAGAACTTCCCCTCCATCTCGCCCCCCCGCCCAAGCTTCTATATTAAATTCAGACCCAAATTCAAATTCAGACCCAATTGACACCATGGTGGAATTATTTAAAAGTGTGCTTAATTTTATTATTTTTATTTCTTTGGCAATTGCTTTTCAAGGTTGCAGCTACTTCCAGCCAGGATCAGAGGTGTAAGGGCCAAAATATCCTGGGTGAAGTCTGGGCTCCATTTGGAATTTTGCCATTGACTAAAATGGGGCCAGGGTTTCACCTCAGGAGAGTAGCTTTTTCCATGTTATTTTTCAGAAGAACTGGAAACAGAAAGTGCCAGAAACCTTACAAGAAAGCCCATCCCAGCTAGATCAATAGCTCAGTTAAGCAGTCCCAAGAGTTTCTGAGAACTTGAATAAAGCTTGGATAAGCATGTGGCTACCTTGGTTCTTATTTGCTATAAGCTTTAGCTTTGCACGGCACTCATCTGAACGCCTACATCCCAGCAAAGTTACCGTGCAATTCATTAGAGAGACAAGGTGGGTGAGGTAATACCTTTGACTGGACCCACTTCTGCTGGTGAGAGAGACAAGCTTTAGAGTTTTACACAGAGCTCTTCTTCAGGTTTGGGAAAGGTACTCAGAGTGTCATAGCTAAATACAAGATTATACAGATTGTTTAGCATAAGTAGTTAACACATGTTTCAAGGGACCATTCAAGATTAAGTGGCCCTGCTAACACCCCTCCAGTCAGAGGGAGGAAAGGAAGTGGAGAGGAAGGCAGCTGCGGGGGGGGAGGGGGTGTTGTTAGTGGATAATCGATTGTTGTAATAATCCATAAATCCAGTGTCTCTATTCAGTCCATGATTTTTAGTGTCTAGAAAAGTTATGAATTTAAGATGCCAGGCTTGTCTTTTGCAAGTGTTGAGCAGGTTTCCTTTGTGGATGAGGATTGATAGGTCAGATATAGTGTGATCGCTTTGTGAAAAGTGTTCACCCACAGGGGATGTGGTGTTTTTGTCTTCTATCATTTTCCTGTGTGAGTTCATTTGAGATGATAGTGATTGTCTGGTTTCACCCACGTATTTGCTATTGGGGCATTTAGTGCATTGGATGAGGTATACCACATGTTATGATAGGCATGTATAGGACCCATGGATCTTGAAAAATGTGTTGGGGGAGTGTGTAGATCATTGTAGCAGTGGAGACATGTCTGCAGTTTTTGCATCTTTTGTTCTGGCAGTGTCTGGTGCCACTTTGCGTTGGTGGGTCCTGGTCTGTGGGGAGCTTGCTTATGATGATGAGCTTGGCAAGGTTGGAGAGTTGTTTGAAGGCCAGAAGAGGGAGTTCAGGAAAGATTTCTTTCAGGATGGGGTCCCCATTGTGTAGGGGTTGTAGTTGTTTGATGACACCCCATATGGGTTCCAGTGTGGGGTGGTAGGAAATAACTAGGGGTGTTATTTCTGTATTGAAGCAGGTTCTCTTGGGGTATTTGAGTGGCCTGTTCCATGATGTGATCAAATTCTCTGTGGTGGAGTGTCCTTGTTTGGTAGAGGCAGTTTTGAGTGTGTTAAGTTGTATATTCCAGACTTTCTCCTCAGAGCCTGTTCTGTGGTATCTGATTGCCTGGCTGTAGGTAACAGATTTCTTGGTGCGTTTGGGGTGGTTACTGGATCCAGGAAGGTAGGTGTGGTGATCTGTGGGTTGCCTGTCTATTGTTGTCAGTAGAGTTCCATTGCTGACGCTGACTTTGGAAGTTGATGCTGGTGAGGAAGTGTTCCAGAGAGAGTTTAATGAATGGGTGGTGGTTGTTGAAGCTGGGGTGGAAATCTATGAGGGAGTTTGTCGTCTGGAATCCATGTCACTCAAGTGACATGCCATTTTCACTTGGAACATTAGTCGCGGCTTGATCCACTGATCAAAACAGCATGACTGCCAGTGTTGGGACAGCTATTCTCTCAATAACAGAGCCCATTAAGCTAATGAATAAGAGGATATTGATCAGAAATCCACTAATTGATTGACTGGTCTCAGCAATGAAAAAACCTGGAGATGAAAGCTTGAGCAGTTTAAAAGATCATCCGAACCTCAAAGATGATTTGAAGCTTTACAAGTCAGTCTCTGCCTATCAGTTATGGTGGGGTGGGTGTGTTTGTACTACACAGAGGAAAGTTATTCTTTGAAAATTTGCATGCAGGATGTCTAATTTAATTTCATGTAATCATCACATTTCAGTGACAAATGTCAGATCACTGCTTTTTTAAGCGTGTTAAGGTTTCCCGGCACTTACAAAGAACGAGCCCTCTGATTCAATAATATGTTTAAATCAGCCAGTGTATCAGACTTTGTGCGTTAATTATGTGCTCAGATAAAAAAAAACTGTTGCTTTTGCTTTACTAAACCTATGGCTTGTTATGAATAATTAAA